TTCGGTTTCGGGATTTTATATATAGTTTCGGACTTCGGGACACAAATTTAGACCACACTAAATTTGTAAACCTTTAGGTCAAATGCAAACCTGAAACTGTCAATTTGAAGAGATGTTCATATATAACTCGTTGATCAAACAATCAAAAAAATATCCGGAAATAATCGTTCACTCTCATCCGTTTAAATTGAAGGATAGTTTAAATACGGAAAAATTTTTGTTGCATATTTTTTTTCCGCAGTATTAAGTATTTTAATTATTTTTGATGTCCCAATGAAATCTTCACATAAACGTGACTAGGCTATAGCAATGGCCTATGCGTGCATCAATAAGTGAGTCTTTTGAACTCCAATGGCTTCCAGGACCGATTGATTTGTATTTTTGTGATTTTATTTATAATCTTTCATATTAAAAATAAAAAAAAATAAGATAATGTTAGTAATTTAGAATTCAATACAGAAAAATATTTAACCTACCTTCCCCATGGTGGTTTCAATAATCAAAGAATTGCATTAGAAAATGCAATCTTCTTGACATGGTTTTTCAGAACTCTGATAATTCCGTTTCTCCTTCTTTTAAAGGATATGCACCATGCATACGATGTATATACCAGCCATATGATGAATTATACAATTTTTTTATCACAATCTATACATCTAAGAAAAAATCAATTTAAAATTCTGTTTTACAAACGAGAAGTGCAAGATGGTAACTTATACAATGTATAATTGGAAGTGTTGATGGATTTTACATTTTTGAAGCATAATATTAGCATCAAGATTTTGATTTTAAACATTTATTTGCAGCACTTGGCATTGAAAATAGTACAGGAGTGTATTATGTGACTAGAGATGAATATCAATATCAACAACGATATTATAATGATGCTACATCAACAATCGGACTCGGTAAATTAAAAACGAGTGAACTTAATTGACTTAAGCAAAAGATCCGAAAAATTAATGTCGCGCTGAAGCTTGAAACGGCTGAAGCTTGAAATTAGGGATCTCGATTTAAAAATATAAGTCCTACTAAAATCCACTTATACATTTTAATTATAAAATTAACCCTAAATCCTAAGCTAACTATAAAAAAAGCTAAAAAAAATGCACCCCAAAATTTTTTGAAAATTTCATATTAAAGTATTTAAAATTCCAAGCTTCAGCCGTGACAATTAATAAATTTTGGAAGTGTTTTTTTTATCAACTAGAATCGTTCGACAATTACGTATACAATATTGGGCAGACGATAAAAAAATAACAGGAATTTTTTTTCAGCGGATTTAATGTCATCCCATGTGCTGC